GGTGACAGCTTGAGACTGTCTCAAGAAAAAACAACTATGTAACACATTTATTGTAGAAAAGTTTATGCTAGAAGTCATGAGTACTTGAGCTATAACTATGGAGCATACCTCACAGATTTTATTATCATTAGGTGGTAATTTTCCAAACCACTAATTTTTGTTTCTTTATACACGTTAGATATTAGTGTCCTATGACATTCCCACCTGTATCTACATCAATATGCTAAGGTAAGCTGGGAAAATTAAGTGAAGAATGTTTGTTATAGGGAAGAGGCTTGCATTAAAGCTTAACATACCAACATTATCCCAAGAAATCAAGATCTGACTAACTTTTGACATGTAAGGATGTTACTTAAAATAAGAAAATTTAATAATTAACTCTAACTTTTTTAGAGATAGTACAAAATCTAGATAATGCCTCACTGCCAGTCACATTAGTTTGAATGCACCAGAATAATTTATAGATCTGACTGATATATGCAGGCACATAAATGAGTAGGCTAAGAAATTCTGCAATAAAGTTACTTTTAAAATACATTTTCTATTTTCAACATTTCAAAAGACATACAAGCTTATTCTCAACTCAATACTTTACTTTTGTCATAACTATTATCAAATAATGAACACAAAAATGATAAGGAAAAGTGACAATATATTCTTGAAGAGGATTCATTCTTGATGTGAATGACATACAATAAAACTTTAGCAATATGATAAAAACTACTGATGTTGTTATCCAGAGAATAATCAAAAGCATTATTTCAAATGTTTGATAAAATAAAGATTTAAACCAAAACAAGCATAATTTGTACATTTATACAAATATATATTTAACCATCAAAAAGGGAAATAATGCTGTACAACAAGTATTAAGTGGTTTCTAGAAAGCTGCTTTCTAAGACTTTCTCGTGAAGCTCTAGAAAATAGCTTCAAGAAAATAAATATTATATTTCAAACCTATGTGAGAACAGCGTATGTCACACACATAAGTTCTCTTATATAGTGATGTTAATAAACAACATACTTCAAATTAAGGAGGTTTTTGCACCTTTTTCAAAGCCTCCAATGCACTGTGGGCATTCAGATATTTTTGATCAGCGTTTGGCTACAGGCAAATAATAATTTAAATACCTACAAAATGACATTTGATTTCAAACAGTATAGTCTTATTTCAAAGCAGGTTTCAAAAGTTGCCATGCTGGAAACAAGAAGGTGATAGAGAAATAAAAAGTGTCACCTTATGTAAAAGTATTTTTATAAGCATAAAATAGTCTTAACAGGGTGATCTGCAAATATACATCAAACCCCAAGCTCCTCCAGAACTTAATGAGATTAAGTCCCCACTATACCATTCTAAATTGCAGAAAAGAGGCATTCACATCATTGGCAACTTTCCCCATGCTTTCTGTGAGTCTACAAAGCATGGAATAGGCAGAGCCTGCCAAATTCTGCACAGTGCACTGCCCCAGCACAACTCCATTGGTGATGCCACTTCCACTGCTGAAGAGCCTGCCACTGGGGGTGTAATGGCAATCTGCAGTTTACCAATACTGTACTCTGTTATACATGTCATTTGTTCACATTTTGACTTCACGACCTATAGTAAATAATAACAGCAAAACAGAAAATATTATGCACCAAAGACTATTGTTTAAAAAAAAAGGGTTCAGCGCACCCCTAGAGGCAGGCTCTTCAGGGGTGGGTGCGACATCGCCAGTGGAGTGCAAGTTGGGGCTTTGCTCTGATCCAGAATTGGCAATCCGTGCCTGCTCTGCACTTTGCAAATCTGTAGAAACAAAGACAAAGACATGACCATTACTGAATGTCACCAGAGATCTCCAGTGTATCAGGACACCTCAAAACAAAGTATGAATCTTATTAAGGTTGACCCTATTTTTAAGCCTATTTGCAGGTCATTTAAACTGAAAAAATATTTTTATAAAAATGAAGACCAAATTAATGGAGATCAGCTTCTTTCAAGTAAAAACAGCTATTAGTATATTCTTTATTTGCTTTAATTAGCAGGGAAAGTATAGTCTTTGTCTCTTCTGCTGCTTCCTGATTAGAGGAATCAACAATTGAAAGATGCTTTGTTGCTGACAGACAAGATGTCATGGAGTATGACAATTTCTAACTAATTGGGTTGTAGGGAACTTGCACTTACAGGTACACCTCTTCCACCAGGAGTCTGTCTTCCAAAATCTGCAAAGGCTGGAGTAAAGTCTGGTCCTCTAGGCAAAATCCGAGGATCAAGTGTTCTCATTGGTAATTTGGGTTGGTTGATCTGCATGGAAAAGCAAAGCAAAGTTTAACATGCATTCCAGAGCATTCAGTGCCACAAAAAGTAACAAAAACATTGACTAAAAGGTTCTGTCAGCTGAAATGGCATGTACTGTATTCTGATCCAGAAGATGTGTAATCTCCACAGGACTTCTCCTGGATTATTCTTAGAAGCGATTAGGGGCTCGGCGCCTGTGGCTCAAGTGGCTAAGGTGCCAGCTACATACACCTAAGGTGAGGGGTTCAAATTCAGCCCGGGCCCACCAAACAACAATGATGGCTGCAACCAAAAAATAGCCGGGCGTTGTGGTGGGCGCCTGTGGTCCCAGCTACTTGGGA